CACCAGGGTCGCTTTGATCTCTGACAACATGATTCTTCCAGGTTCTATGGGGGATACGCGACCCTCCGGGAGAGCACTGTTGCCTTCGGGGCCTCAGTGGACGCGGACCAGGACGGGCTCTTGGCCCCGGCTGCTACGGGCGCGATCAAAACGCCGAGGCCACCACGGGCCCCCCCTAAAGTCCGTCGCGGGACCGGGCGAAAACCAAGCGGGCTTCCGTGGCAGACCAAGGAGGAACCTGGGATTGGCCGCCATGGGCGCGCACAGTGCCTCCAGAGTCACACAGGTCCGACCCGAGAGTCCGCCCAGGAACCCGGGGAAGCCCAAGCAGGCCCCCGTCGCAGACCAGCACGGGACCTTCGATGCTTGGCCGCAATGGACACAGACAGGTCGCACCGGCCCCTCAGGACCGACTCGAGGACAGAGGGCATGGAAGAGCCTGCGCGGGCAGCCAACACGGGCACGACCGAGCCGCAGAGGAGACAGCAGAGGGAAGCAAGGGTGAACGCCAATGACCACTATGGACCGACCCGTGAGCAACGCAGACCACGATGGGCCAACCCGAGCAGGAACGAACCGCGAACGCGGTCGCGCCCGACGCATTATGGCGAGAAGACGCGCCGCGCGTCGCCCCCCCCCGGAAGCGGGCCAAAATTACACCCCTTCGCGCGCAGTGGATAACACCGCGGGTGGACGCCCTACCCCATATTGCAACTATGGGCAGGTAGGGCGCCGCAGACGTGACCGTGCATTTGACATCCCGCCCCGCGGCCACGCGGCGAAACGGTGACATTGCGACCGTGCTCGGAGAGGAGGTTAGCGAGAGGAGGCACGACGCGCGGCCGCATGGCACGCCAGCAAGCCCGCGCGGGGGCCTGGCCCGCCCGACGGAGCGGCGGCGCTCGGCGGGTGGTCACGCAGTCGCCTTCCGTCGCGCGTTGCGACGCGCGGCGAGTTCCCCTTGCGCCAGTCAGGCTGCGATTTGCAATAGCAAGTTATTCTCGTCCAAAAGAGGCCCCAAAAGGCTTCCAAATGCTGCGACGAGGCCCCCGAGAGGCGCCCCACGAAATCCTATCGAACTTCCAAGAGGCCTCTAAACCACATCTCAAGCACGGCGGCGGGATGGGCCGAAGGCTACTAGACGGCCCAAGAGGCCCCCAAGATACCCAAGAGGCTTCCAAGAGGTCGCCCAAGAGAGCTCGACGAGGCCAACACACGCTGATGTCCCGCAGGTTGTTTGAGCAATTTCGGCGTTTCCGCCCGCTCCGCTCCCCGACGCTGCAAGACGCCCCAAGAGGCCCCGAGAATCGCCCCAAGACTGCCCAATGAGTTTGAAAAGCGCCCCAGAATGGCTCCAACCCTGCCGAGGAAACGTCCGCGATGGCCCGAGGAGTCCCCGACCGCGGCCCAGGATCGGGAAGGCGAACCGAGAACCCAAGATTCAGGAGGGGAAAAAAGCGCACAGGCACCAGCAATCGTCGATTCCCCCGGAAAATATAGGAAAAGCATGGGAAGTGGGAGGGAAGACGAAACCCCGAAAATTATATAAACGATGGGGAAGCTTCTTAGTTGCGCGTGTATATGTGCGCCCCGGGGCCCCATTCAAAGATCTTCGCCCCTGGAGACCCCCAGGGGGCTTCAAGAGGTCCTCGAGAAACCCCGAAGAGGCCCCAAAGAGCCCCAAAAAAGAGGCCCCGAGGACAACTTAAACATTTGAATCCCGAACTTTTGTTTTCCCAACCCTCCTTGGTTGGGTATTCGTTTGGAATAGAGCAGTGTGGTCTCCACTCCTTCCTTCCTTCCCGCCTCCCTCTTGCCTCCTCATGTCTTGCCTGCGGGGGGCTGCGATCTGTGAAACTGTCGCCACTTTCGAGGCCTGCTGGGGGGCCCAGCACAGTGACTCCACACGCAGATTCAAATTAGACCTCGCCATCCCTGGGGGGCTGCGACCTGTGAAACTGTCGCCACTTTCGAGGCCTGCTGGGGGGCCCAGCACAGAGACGCCACGCGCGGACCCTAATTGGACCTCGCCATCCCTGGGGGGCTGCGATATGTGAAACTGTCGCCACTTTCGAGGCCTGCTGGGGGGCCCAGCGCAGTGACGCCACGCGCGGACCCAAATTTAACGTCGCCATCCCTGGGGGGCTGCGATCTGTGAAACTGTCGCCACTTTCGAGGCCTGCTGGGGGGCCCAGCACAGTGACGCCACGCGCGGACCCAAATTTGACCTCGCCATCCCTGGGGGGCTGCGATCTGTGAAACTGTCGCCACTTTCGAGGCCTGCTGGGGGGCCCAGCGCAGTGACACCACGCGCGGACCCAAATTAGACCTCGCCATCCCTAGGGGGCGAAGCGGAAAGAAACAGGTTGCTCTCCACGAGACGCCCCTCATGCCTCGTGAGTTGCTCTCAGGCCCTCGATCACATCATCCTCGAACCGTTATTGTTTCTGGGACCCCGCCGCAGACACAAGTTAGACCTCGCCATCTCTCGGGGGCTGCGATATGAGATTCCCGCTTTCGAAGTGGCTAGGGGTGCTCAGGGATTGTAACTAATCAGCTTTATCTAGTCCTTGTCCTGTAGCCAGTGTCCTGCGAGTCTCCCGAATTCCGTCTGCAGACATATGTAACCCTCGCTCCGTCATCGCCCCCCTTTTTATAAAGTGTCCTAAACAATTTGCGCCACGCGTTTGCGCAGGGGTTGGGTACGTCGCCAGGGTAATTCTCTTGTCAAGTTCGTCAGGCAACTTGTCTACGCGCGTCAAAATGAGCTTGGCGAAAGATCCAACCATGTGCAGCTGTGAATACCGCAGTTGTGGGCATCGCCCTTCGGTGGAGCTCCCTCCGGGTCCAACGCTGTAGTGGGTGGGAGGGGACGCATGCGAACTACGCTTCTTGGGCCACGAAACGCTGCGTTGGGCGGGGGAAACGCATGCAAACTGCGCCATTGGGACCTTCGGTGGAGCCCTCTCTGGGGCGCCACTGAGACCTTCGGAGGGGCTCCCTCTGGGGCCACGAAACGTTGCACTGTGCGGGGGAGACGCATGCGAACTGCGCCACTAGGACCTTCGGTGGAGCTCCCTATGGGGCCACGAAACGCGTGAGGGGTGTGCCGGAATGGGCCTGCAGTGGGCGGGAAGGACGCACGCGGACGCGGCCAGTGGGGACGCTGTACTGGGTGGGGGAGACGCATGCGAATTGCGCCATTGGGGCCGTCGGTGGAGCTCCCCATAGGGCCACGACGCGCTGCAATGGGCAAGGAAGACGCATGCAGACTGCGCCGCTGGGGCCTTCGGTGGGGCTCCCTCTGGGGCCACGAAACGTTGCACTGGGCGGGGGAAGCGCATGCGAACTGCGCCACTCGGGCGTTTGGTGGAGCTCCCTACGGGGCCAAGAAACGCGTGAGGGGTGCGCCGACATGGGCACGCGGTGGGCGGGGAAGACGCATGCGGACGCGGCCACTGGGGCCTTCGGTGGAGCTCCCTGTGGGCCACGGAGCGTGTGAGGGGTGCGTCGGGATGGGCACGCGGTGGGAGGGGAGGACGCATGCGGACGCGGCAATTGGGGCCTTCCGTGGAGCTCCCTATGGGGCCACGGAGTGTGTGAGCGGTGCGCCGGGATGGGCACGCGGTGGGCGGGGAAGGCGCACGCGGGCGCGGCAATTGGGGCTTTCGGTGGAGCTCCCTATGGGGCCACGGAGCGTGTGAGGGGTGTGCCGAAATGGGCACGCGGTGGGCGGGGAGGACGCATGCGGACGCGGCCATTGGGGCCTTCAGTGTTTTTTATGGGGCCACGAAACTTGTGAGGGGTGTAGCGAAACAGGCAGGCGGTGTGCGGTGAACACGCATGCGGATGCGGTCGCTGGGGCTCTCGGTGGGGCTCCTTATGGGGCAGCGAAACGTGTGACGGGTGTGTCGAAATGGGCTTGCGGTGGGCGGGGAGGACGCATGCGGACGCGGCCACTGGGGCCTTCGGTGGAGCTCCCTATGGGGCCACGAAGTGTGTGAGGGGTGTGGAAAAATAAATGGGCATGCGGTGGGCGGGGAGGACGCATGCGGACGCGGTCGCTGGGGCCGTCGGTGGAGCTCCCTACGGAGCCACAGACATTGTGAGGGGCGTGCCGAATTGAGGATGCGGTGGACGGGGAGGACGCATGCGGACGCGGCCATTGGGGCCTTCAAGCGTGTGAGGGGTGTAGCGAAATGGACATGCGGCGGGCGGGGAGGACGCATGCAGACGCGGCCTCTGGGGCCTTCGGTGGAGCTCCCTACGGGCCACAAAAAGTGTGAGGGGCGTGTGCCGAACTGGGCCGGCGGTGGGCGGGGAGGACGCATGCGGGCGCGGCCACTGGGGCCTTCGGCGGAGCTCCGTATAGGGGCCACGAGACGTGTGAGGGGTGTGCCGAACTGGGCATGCGGTGGGCGGGGAGGAGGAAGGAAGGAAGGAAGCCAGGAACGAGGGAGGGAACGCGGGGACCGTCTTGTCAAAACGACGACGCAACACCACAGGATGGTTGGGAAAAAAGGCATCACATGTTTTCCTCCTCCTCCTTCTTTTCCTCCTTCTGGTCTTCCTCCTCTGCGGCCTCCTCCTCCTCCTCCTCTTTTCCCTCCTCATCCTCCCCCTGCTCCCCCAGGGAACCCAACCCCTTCACCTCCCATTTTCCTCCCTCTCCCTCCGGCAACGTTCAGCCGCGGCGAAGAGAAGGGCTCCCGAAGTGCCTTTTGGGCCTGTCTTGGGTGGACCGTAGGAAGTCTTGGAAGCCTTTTGGGCCGTCCTCATGGATCTTGAAAGCCCCGGAGAAGAAGCGTCATCAGATACAGGCCCCCGAGTGTTCGAGCATCTAGCCTAGGTAGAATTTGAGCGCACGCGATGGTTCGAGTTTTTAGATACATACACATATCTATATATGTGTATATAGGCGCCCGGGTTGTGTCCGTCGAAGGAGATCATGTCTGGATGTCCGAGAATAGTATGGTAATGTGACGCAGCGTTTTCGGCAGGTGCGAACCACGATCTTCTCGTTCATCAGCATGTGCGGGAAGCTCTTGTGTTTGTTGGCGCCAACCATGGTGGAGGCGCCCACGGGAAGGACGGCGAGCACGGGAGGAGGGGGAGATGGAAGGAGGAAGCAGGGCGGGGTGTTGACCTCCTTGCGCCTGGTGTTTGTTTCAGTTTTTAGTTTTAATATTTATGAGACACGGAAGGTCGTTCTCCATATTCGGCTCCCAGGGGCCGCCAAGAAACGATTTGGGATGGAAAGTTGGTCGATTGGAATAGTTCCACACCTCCTGAGAGCAATGTTGTGTATCAACACGGCGTCGGAGGTATGGGTCCGATGCCGTAATGTTTTCGCAACGAGGACCCCTGGAAGTCCCAGCTCCTTTTTGGGGACCGGCTTTCATCCCGAGTCGTTTCTTGACGGCCCTGGGGCCCAGAAAGGGCTTTCGGACGCCGAAAAGTTTGTGAGAACCTGCTTGGCGCGCAAACGCGACGTTGGACTGCTGGAGGGGGCAGGGGGGCGGGGAGGGCCGCGAGGACGAATGACAAGTGCGCGCGGGAGGGAAGGCGGATGCATGGGGGAGGCGGCAAGGAGTTGGCGAGCAGGGAGAGGGAAGCCAGACCTCCCAGATGGGGTCCGAGCAGATGGTGTCGGACGATCTTGCCGCGTCGCCGATGTTTCGGCGATGCGGATCGACGTTGAGCCCGATTTTCGCCGCGCCGATGGTGCCGATGCATCGCCGATGCGGCGCGATACTCCGACCCCTTCTACTCCGAGCCCATGTAGGAGGCCCCTGGGAAAGGAGGAGAGGAAGGGAGGGGGAAATAGGAGGAAGAGGAACCAGGAGGGGGAGGAGGAGAAGGAGGATGAGGAGGAGAAGGAGGAGGAGGAGGGCGGAGTCGGACTTGACCACGGACTGGCAGCAGGATGGGCAGCACTCTGCGGCCAAATGGAGTAATCATGCAGGTGCCGCGGCCCTCCCCATGGCGCACGAAGATGTTCCTTGCCACCGTCACGCCAGCTGCCCAGTTCGCTTGGGCAGCGTGGACGCCGGGTGCCGAGCGGGGGTGGAGGCCACGCACAGCGTAGCGCAATGTGTTCGGACTGCACGAGCCGTGGGCGACGCACCTCAGCGCAGGGCGACGCACACCAGCGCATCGCTAGCACAGCGGCATGGCGTGACGGAGTGGGCTAAAACATGCTCTGGTGAGCAGAGTCAGCAGCTGACCGGCGCTGGCACGCGCGCCTCGCCAGCTGGAAGCCAGAAGGGCAGGCGGCCAGCATAAGCGTTGGTGCGACTGCCGTGCAGACCCACTAGCTTGAGATTCACGCGGTATCCCCTCGTTCTCTTTCTGTTTTTCGTCTCCTCTGGCTCCGTTCTCCTCCTGGCGGCGTCGTTATCTTTTCCACCGAGGCAGCCGGTAGAGTTGCGGTATCGAACATATCACATAGCACTATAGTATTGTTTATCGCGCGTGTTGTTTCACATTTTCTGGTTTGGCGCACCGCTGAGATAGGTGGTGCTTGCCCCCTTCATCCGGGCCAAAGTTCCACCCCTACCCCCCCCCCGTTCTCTCCCCGGCGCGCCCCCTCTTGCTTCCTGCTCCCTCGGCCCTCACAGTCCCCCTTTCCCACTCCTTGCGCGAGGTCATGAGACATGGAGAGAAGTCCACGGATTGGACCGATCGGAACCTCAGCATTTACATCTGGCGCCAGCGATTTCTTCTGTTGAAGGCATGAGAATGGAGAGACAGGATTAGCGACCCTGGGGGAAGATCGGCATAGAGAGACCGAGGGCTTCGTGTGTGTATGTGCATATACACGTATTGCGAAGGCCTTACGGCCAGTGCCGCCGACTTTGACGGCGACGACGAGGACGACGAGGATGTTGAGCAGCAAGACGAGGAGGAGGATGCGGAGCAGGGCGAACAGGAGGGGCAGGAGCGGATGGCGAGCACGGGGTGCAGGAGGAGGAGGGGGAGGGAAAGGGCGAGCAGCGAAGATCGCCTCTCGGGGCGGCGCTCTTGGAGCGCTGCTGGAGCGCTCTTGGGCGCCCTTGGGCTCGAACAGGGAGGGCCGAGGACAAGGGACGAACGGCGATGGAAATGGCATTCTGACCCGGGATCCCCCCCCCCGGGTCTCCCCCGGGAACCCCCCTTGGGACCCCCCCGCGGGGAAGGGATCAAGGGAAGGGGCTTCCCTTCGAATGAATGACGACGATCGTTATTTTCGTTTTGGCGAGCACGCTTGAAGAGAAAGGCCCAGGGTCAGAGAGGCAGCGGCTGGCGCGTTGGAGAAGGAGACCCAGGAGAAAGCTTGGAATGGCGACGACGACGACGACGACGACGACAACCAGGAGACGACGAATGAAGCAGCGACGAATGAAAGAGCTTCTTACACACGCCGACAGGGTCGGCGGATTTTTATTTGGGGGTAAGGCCCTGGGGCCCAAAGAACCTGGCCTCTGGGTCCTCCATGGGGGTGCCGGCCCTCCCTTCGCGTCCAGAATGGCCTGCATTTTCGGCCCAAGAGAGCCCCACGAGCGCAGGGGCCACCCAAGACGGCCCAAGAGGCACCTAAGACGGCCTAAGATACCTCCAAGGCCCAAGAGAGGCCCAAGAGGGGCCCGAGAGCGCCCAAGAGTGCCGAGATTGCCCAACACGGCCTCCGGCTCACGAGGCCCCCAGGACGCCCCGCAGGCCCACAAGAGGACACCCGAGAAGGCAAAATTTTGTAATTTCCCATTGGTTTTGGAAGTATTTTGAGATTCCCGCCTTTTCGGGCCAAGCGCGGCCCAAGACTGCTCTGACGGCCTCTGAGTTCGCGCCAAGACAGCCTAAGTGGCCCCAACAAACGCCCAAGACGGCCCAAGAGGCCCCCAAGACACGCTCAAAAGAGAAGAAGACGATCAGTGGGTGTTGGGGCGGCGTCCATACATATGAATATTGACGTGTGTTTGCCTGCCTGCCTGTCTGTCTGCCTGTATGTATGTATGTATGTATGCATGCATGTATGTATGTATGTATGTATGTATGTGTGTATGTATACATATATATATATATATATATATATATATATATATATATGTATACATACATGTGTATGTGTATAAGTGTTTATTCATATACATACACATACAACCATACCTGTACCTATACGACCACCCTTCGGGTGATAAGGGGGTGGGTGGGAGGAGAAACAACCAACTTACGACAACTGCAATGACGGCGATGATGACGGTGTTGGTGGTGCGTCCTCGAGATGGCGACGACGCGTGGTGACGATGTTGCGTCGCGATGTGGTCCCACCATCGATCCCACTCGATCGACCTCACCATCGAGACACCATATGGGCACCATGTGGCCAAATAAATGCCACCACTACTTTGCTGTCATGGTTGGTGCTAAGTGCGAAGGCTGGCAGCTGATGGCTAGGTGATGGCCGCAGTGGTGATGAGCGTGGCGGCCACAGCAACGGCGACAGTGCTGAGCACGATCGGAACATCGGAACACTGTCGGGCAAAATGAAAGCCAGCACCACTACGGTGCGATGGACACCACCAGGACACCATCGAGGCACCATCAAAACACAACCAGGACACCATTTGCGCCCTACAACGGTGGGTTCATTCCTCTCGCGCGCACACGCAGCCTCGCCTCGCCCGCACGCACGACACGAACGAAACAAACGATTTCCCGGTTAGGGGTATCCGTATTTCTGCGATCTCACCTCCCTACCTCCGATATCTATATATATATATATATATATACACACCTATACGACCACCCTTCGGGTGATAAGGGGGTTCGGGGGGGAGGAACCAACGTCTCACTCGATCGGTCTCACTATCGATCTCACTATCGGTCTCGCTCGATCGATCTCACTCGATCGATCTCACAATCGATCTGACGATCGATCTCACAATGGATCTCAATATCAATCCCACTATCGATCTCAAAATCGATCTCACATTCGGTCTCATTATCGATCTCTATCGATATCGCAATCGATCTCACAATCAACGTCATCATCATCAACATCATCGTCATCAACGTCATCAACATCATCGTTATCATGCCCATCATAGGGGCACCATCATCATCATCATCATCGCCTCATCACCACCATCATCAACATCATCATCACCATCATCATCGGGACACCATCATCGTCACCATCATCATCATCAACATCGTCATCATCGGCACACCATCATCACCATCATCGGAACACCACCATCACCATCATCATCTTTTCATCATCATCATGAACATCATCAACATCATCAACATCATCGGGACACCATCATCATCACCAGCAACATCATCAACATCATCATCACCGGGACACCATCATCATCGTCAACATCATCATCATCGTCATCATCATCGGGACACCATCATCATCAACATCAGCATCATCACCATAATCGGGCCACCATCATCAAAATCCGCATCACCACCTCATCATCATCCTCATCATCAACATCATCATCATCGGGACACCATCATCGTCATCATCAACATCATCATCGGGACACCATCATCATCAACAGCATCATCTTCAACCTCATCATGATCGGGACACCATCATCTTCATCATCAACAACATCTCATCATCATTTCATCATCATCATCATCAACATCATCATGATCATCAACATCATTATCACCGGGACACCATCATCATCAGCAGCAACATCATCATCATCATCAACATCATCATCGGGACACCATCATCATCACCACCATCATCATCATCGTCATCGTCATCATCATCATCGGGACACCATCATCACCACCACCACCATCATCACCATCATCATCAACATCATCGACATCATCATCATCATCAGCAGCATCATCATCATCATCATCATCATCATCATCATCATCACCGACGGGACTCCAGCGGGACACTGGCGGGACACCGCGGGCCACCGGCCCCCAGAAAGGAATCATTTGGTCCGGCCGCGCCTCAGCAGGAGGCGGGCCATTGGCGGGACACCGCGGGCCACCGGCCCCCGGAAAGGAATCATTTGGTCCAGCCGCGCCTCAGCTGGAGGAGACTTTCTTCTCGCCCGCCCACGCAGCTTCGCCTCGCCCGCACGCACGGCACGCACGAACACGAAACCGAAACCGATTTCCCGGTAGGAGGGCTCTCCGTTCCATTTCGATCTCACCCCCTCACTTCCGATATACACATGTATATATGTGTGTATGTGTACATGCATGCATGCGTTCGTGCGTTCGTGCATACCTACTTGCCTGCCTGCCGGCATGCCTGCCTGCCTGCCTGCCTACATACATGCATGTTTACATGAGTATACATATATATACATACATATATACATACATGCATAGATGCATGCATGCATACATACATGCATCCATACATGCACACATACATACATACCTGCACACATGCATGCATACATGCATGCATGCATGCATGCATGCATGCATGCATGCATACAAACATACATGCATGCATACATACATACCTGCATAAACACACACATACATACATACACACTGTCAGAAAGCGTGAGGAGGGAGGGAAGGAGGCCCCAAACGAGCAACACATGTTGCCCTTTAGGGCTGGCCCTCAGGGCTTGCAAGAAGGCCGAAGAGGGGCCCCCAGAGGACGGCCCCTGGAACCGTTTGAGGCCGTGCTGGAAGCGTGGATTGCAGGCCACGCTTCCAAGTCTTCCGGAAAGGTCACTCGGCAAGCTCCAAGAGCGTCATGAAGCGCCCGAGAGCGCCTGGAATTCGGAGGGCCTGGGCCCTCTACAATTTCCGTTGCAGACAATTCGCCACTCCGTACTTACCGCACGGTGGCGTATGTGATTGAAGAAAGTTGCAGAGTAAGTTTGACAGAGATTCCCCTTTCACCAACAAGGCTGGCTGAAGGTTTACGAACTGCGCGATTCATTTCTGCAAAAAGTAGATGTTTTGAAATCGGCTGCCCTCAATCCGTCCGTGAGAGAGAGAGAGAGAGAGAGAGACGGAGACAGAGAGAGAGAGACGGAGACAGAGAGAGAGAGAGAGACGGTGACAGAGGCAGAAAGAGAGAGAAGGAGGCAGACAGAGACCGAGACAGACATAGAGAGAGACAGAGAGATGCATGTTTGAATATACAAGGACAGAGAGATAGATAGCGAGAGAGAGAGAGAGAAATAGACGAGAAAGAGACGAGAGAGAGAGAGAGAGAAAAACAAAACCATCATATATATACATGTATAAATGTTGGGAAACAGAAACGAGAAAGAGACAGAGGCAGAGGGATGATAAAAAAAAACAAAAAATGATAACGACAAGGAGAAATCACCGAATAAGCGAAGGCTAGATATATGCCAGCCCAGCAAAGAGAATAAGCGCGGGAGGAAGCAGCGCAGAACAGCGGCATTCGCATCCATTCCCAGTGGTTGCCGGCTGCAATGCGAAGGAAGTGCGCACGTGCCTGAGAAAGAGGAGGATAATGCATGATGAGGAGGCAGCGCAGGAATAACAGTCCCAAAAGGTCTAGGGCCGAAAAGCCAAGGAGGCCTCAACACGGAAAGGCCGATGAATAACCCGTCACACATCAAGCCCGTTTGTGCAGAAGTGTACGTATCTTGTATTGCGATTGCATGTTGTACAGAAGGGCACCCCTCGCTTAGGCGACGCTGCTAGACCAGAGGAGAGCGCCCTGCTCAAGCCCTCCTGGGGAAGAGCATCGGGCTCCCCGGCTGCAGTGGCAACCAGGCGTCCAGACAGCTCGGGGTCAATAGGCCCCAAGAGGCTTGATGAGGGCTCCGGAAAACGCCCCACGAAAGCCTCACGAGAGCCCGAACATGCCGCACACACAAACACACACACACACACACACACACACGCGCACACACGCACACACTCATACACGTACACACAATCGTGCGCACACGCGCAAAGCCACGCACACCTACAACTCCTCCCGCGACGTGCTACATGATGTGAACCCGCACAGGTGTTGGGCGCGCTCGATCCCAGATGCGTGGCACCGGGCAAGGAGCAACCTAAGGGAGCCGCAGGGCGCAGGGAAGCCGGCGAACCAGTATGCACGAGCGAACGTGTGCCTCGACACGCGGGAAGGGGCATGCGGCACTGCGCACGGCGTTGGTCGGGGGTGGGGCGCCCGAGGGGGGACAGCAACCTGGAGAGGAGGAGGAGGAGGAGGAGGACGACGAGGAGGAGGAGGAGGAGGAGGACGAGGAGGACGAGGAGGAGGAGGAGGAGGAGGAGGAGGAGGAGGAGGAGGAGGGCGAGGAGGAGGAGGAGGTGGAGGAGGAGGGGCGGCGGCCGAGAGTGGCCAGAGAGAGCACCCGCCGAGGGCGGCGCGGGGAAGCTGGGAGCGGAGGCGAGCGCAGGCCGACAGTCAGGTCGCTGGACCAAGGAGCAGTTTGGGTTCGGAAGGGGCTCGACGTTCCGTGGGCCCCTCCAGGGCTGCTCCTCAAGCCCTCCTCGTGTGCGCAGGCGCTTTGTGGACTAAGGAGCAGTTTGGGTGCGGAAGGGGCTCGAGGTTCCTTAGGCCCCTCCATGGGTGCTCCTCAAGCCCTCCTCGTGTGCGCAGGCGCTTTGGGGGGCCAGAAAAAGGGGCCTCCTTCCTGATTTGGCGTTCCTCATTTCGGGGGCCCGACTGTAGCCGCGGCAGCGCGCCACGGCGCTGCAGAGGGCGCCGGGAGCGTCGCCTGGCCCGTCGGACAGACTGCTCGGGCACGGCAGGAGGTCCAGCAGGAGGGAAAGAAAAACATACAGACACAGTTAATCGTTGATTCCCGGGAAAGTATAAGGGAAATATGGGAAGTGCTTGAAGACAAAAACCCAGGAGATCTGGGAAAAGATTGGGACTCCTGTCATTTGTGTCTATCTAGTTGTGTGTCCCATGGCCCCTTCAACCCAGCATACACCACGCGACACATGGCTACATGATCGATACTTCGAGTTTCTTGATAAGCGTCGGGGGGGCGTCACCCCCGCCGACAGCCCCGCATCGACCCCCGTTGCGCACAGCCACCGCGCGCCAAAGGCGCTCCGACCCCCTTCGCGGCGCGACGACGAGGCGAGGTTGACCGCCGTCGGGGGAGGGGGGGCACCCCCACGCTTCTTCAGAAACCCAGAGTACATCCAGTGAGTCCTCCAACTGCGCAAAAGCATAGTATTGCCGTCGTCCCCGCTCGATGACTTGATGCCCTGGCGTCACTGCCCGAGCGCCCGTTACTATCGAAGCCCTTCTCTTCCTGAGGCCATCAGACCATCTGATCCACGGGTGGTGCCATCAGATCCTTCGGTCCTCGTGTTGAGGCGGGCCTCCGCGGCCGAACGGCGGCGGGGCGCCACCGCCCCGCTCGGGCCTCGCGCGGTTGCGGCGCGCGCTCCTGGGCGAGGTCGTCGTCGCCGCGCGCACGCGCGCGAGCGGGCCGAGGCGATGAGGAGGAGGAGGAGCAGGAGGAGGAGGAGGAGGAGGTGCCATCAGATCCACGGGTGGTGCCGTTTTTGTCCGAGCCCGCCCTCCCTGTGCCGGCTTCTGGGCGCTTCGCTCGGTCGCTGGTCGCCTCGGTCCTCCGCCGCCTCGCCGTCTCGGGGCCCCGTCGCCCGACGGACCCCCCGAGCGGAGCACAGATCCAGGCAGTGCCGCCACCGGGCCACGGTGTTCCGAGACCCTCTCGCCCAAATTTGACGAGAAACCCCGGGGAGTCTTGTCCAAAGGAGGTTTCGGGGGCGGCAAAGTGGGGGGTGATGACTAGGGGGGGGGGATATCATGGCGGGGGCCATGATATTTCCCCAGATTTCATGGCGCGTCTTCTCGTTTCACTATGTCCCTGGCCCCCCCCCCGCTGGGCCGCGCACATGCCGCCGGTCATGATTTGCACCCCCCCCCCTCCTTGGACACCCCCCTCTCGGCCGCTCCCGAAGCTTGTCCAGATCCCCGCCGGGTTGTGCGAGGGGCTGTCCGGGGTAGGTCGTCCTGTGGACATGGCATCAACAGTAGAAGGGCCGGGTTGTTCGGGGGGGGGTCCGTTATTTGTTTGACTGGATTGGTCCGCCACCGACGGAAGCAGGTCCGACACCCAGGCGTCCGACGTCGTGGTCTTCCCACGGCGCGGCCCCCCAGAGGTTTGGACCCCTTCATCCCGAGTCGGTCTTCACTGCCCCAGAGCCCTATACTCGGGCCGGACGACGAGGTAGGTTTGGGAATCGGGGATCAAGGGACAGGGGTCAGTGCACACGTGGGTCAGCCAGAGCGCCCGATTTTGCAGGATCCTGCAGGGCCAGGGTCGCATTGATCCGAGTTTGGGTGCAGGTTCCTGCAGGATCTTTCAGGATCCTTCGCATTGACCCGGGGTTGGGTGAAGAATCTTGCAGGATTCTGCAAGGTTTGACTAACCCTGGTCTGGATTGACCCGGGTCAGGTGATCCCCGAGGGAAAGTAGGACAGGGGGCGTTACGAAATTTGCTGCATCCCGCCGCCAGGCGTCCTTTCGTCGATCTATGGACGCCTCTCGGCGCCCAGAGGCGCAGGGAGAGTCAGCTGCGTGAGCTGAGTCTCTACAAACCTTGCCCTTTGCTATCCTACCCGTTCGTCCCCCCCGATGTGGGGGCCCCGTGCAGCCACGCGCAGAGGGGGGTGGGGGGAGGGGGGAGTGCTTCTTGGAAGCCCCTGCTTCTTAGAAGGAGCGGGCCTTATCTATACATGGAAGGCCGGCGCCTTCTAAGAAGTAGCCTCCTTCTAAGAAGCCCTCCCCCCTCCCCCTACCCCCTTGTGCGCGCCGCCTACCCCCAAGGGGGCTGAGACTGGGCAATAAAAATCTCCAGTTGCGACGTCTGTTGCGGCGTCAGGGAGCCCTGGGACTCCCTTGGGACCAGCCTTTTCATCCAAAGTCTCTCCTCGTCCTCCTCATCCTCCATTCTTTTTTCCCTTACATATAATTTCTCCCTGTCGTACCCCGAGGCCAGTTTTTAGGGCGGGCCGGGCGTTTCGCCTGAGACTTCCTCACCATGTATGATTCTGAAGCTGAAATCATGGCAACAGTTTCACAGATGGAGTGTGGGTCGTTTTCAAGATGTGGCTCTCGCCTTAGCGCCGCGCACATTCATTTTAAACAGTTGCCAGAGTTTCACGGAATGAGGGCGGGTGTTTTCAAAATGTGGTTCTCGCTTCAGCGCCGCGCACATTCGTTCCAGGAATTCGCAAGAGTTTCACCGCCTCCCTGCTCCGTTTGCCCTGAAGTCTCGCGCCTGGGTGCTGGCGGGGAGCTTCAGTGTGGTGCTCCCGCCGAGCACGGCCATCGATCGACTAGACGTAAGAGTGACCTTTCGCCGGAGTGACCTTTGGTGCGGGCACCGATGGGTCCCCAGATTGCTGAAAACGAAGCAGTAGCAGCTGCTTGCGCGCCCAGGTTTGGTCCCCCCGCAGCCCCCAAAAAAGCCGCGCACCAAAGGTCACTCTTACCCAGGGTCACTCTTGCGTATAGCCGAATCGAGGATGCATCGCCTATGCGCGGCCCACAGGGCCGCCATGGCCGGGGCCCTGCGCCCGACGCCCATGTTCACGCTCCAGTCTCACGCCCTCTTCCGGAGGGAAAAAAACCACACAGACACAAGTCATCGTCGATCCCCAGGGACTTACGGGAAAATAAGGGAAGTGGGGGGGAAGAGGAAAACCAAGAAAATATTGAAAAGTATGGGGAATCCTGGGATTTGTGTGTCCCTGGGCTCCTTTACTGAAGTCTCGCGCATGGGTGCCCCCGCCGAGCACAGCAATCGAGGATGCATCGCCCATGGCCCACAGAGCCACCACTGCCGGGACCCCGCGCCCGACGCCCACATTCGCTCCAACCACGGAGGTCCGCCCTCCGCCTCCCCGCACCAGGTGCCTGATAGCGACGGCCGCGGCGACGGGCGTCTTCGCGATCTTCACCGACGGGAGCGCGGACGAGAGGAAGCCCCTCGAGGAGAGCCGCCGCGGGGACTGGCGGAGGGGCTTTTCGACCCCCCCGCGCCTCGCGAAGAATGTAACGCGGCCGGGGTGGGGGGGTAATCTGAAGTCTGGCATGTTCCTCCACAGGAGGAATATTCAAAAATTGACAAAAATAGTCTGGAGACGATTTGTTATTACTATGTTTGATTATGCTTGATGTGTTTTTACTTGTCGTGTTTTTCTTCCCAAATCTGCCTGTAGGAAACATGCCCGACCTAAAGGTAATCTTATGCCTCTGGGGCTTGCGCTGGGCCTGGGGGGCGTGAAGGGAAACGACTCTCGGGCCGAAAAGCGGGTCCCTGGAATGGGATCCAGAGTTCTAGGGGAGCCGCGCTGCGAAAAAGAAACACGACTTCGGCTGCCTGCGACGGAGGAGGGGAAGTGGGGGCGGCGACAGGATGCGCGACGTGCGTGGGGAAGTGAACTATCGAAGACGCCCACGGCGAGTCACCGCCGCCCCCTGCCTCTTGGAGTCGCCCATGTGGCCGAGCGTTGTGGCAAGAGCTCTGCCAAGCTATCGGACCATGTGTTCCCCCAGCCGTTGTAGAAACCATTCGGGGAACATTTGCGGGAGGATGGCCGGGAAGATCATGAGGAGGAGGAAGAGGAGGAGGGGGCATCTTGGGGCCTCCTTGGGCCTCTTGGGAGCCTTTGGGGGCTTCTCGGGGGCCTCTTTGGCTGTCTTAGGGCATTCGTGGCCCGTCTGACGCGGTCGGCAGCCGTCTTGGGGGCTTCTCTGGGCCGACTTGAAGGTCCTCTTGGGGCGCTCCAGGACCGTCTTGGAGGCCATCTCGGGCGCCTTGGAGGCCTCCTGGGCGGTCTTGGGGCCCTTTGGGGGCCGTCTTGGGGGCCTCTTGGGCCGTTCTGAGTCCGTCTCCGAGGCCTCTTTGGCGATCTTGAGGCGATTTTTTGGAGCTCTTGGGCCGTCGGAAGGCCGACAAGAAGCATACGCCAAAATCCTTCAAAAACCTTGCGTTGGAAAATCCATAATTTGGGCCTCTTTGGGCCTTCCTGGAAGCCCTGGCCTCTTGGGCCGCCTTGGAGGTCTCTTGGGGGCTTCGTGGGCCATCTTGGGCCATCTTCGAGCCATCTTTCGCCGTCTTGATGGCCTCCTGGCCCGTCTGACGCCGTCGGAAGCCGTTTTGGGGGCCTCTCTCGGCCGACTTGGGGCCCTCTTGGGGTGCTCCGGGGCCGTCTTGGAGGCCATCTTGGGCTTCTTGGATGTCTCTTGGGGCCGTCTGGGGGGGCTCTTCGGCCGTTCTGGTGCCATCTCCGAGGCCTCTTGGGCGATCTTGGGGCGATCGTTGGGGGCTCTGGGGCCGTCTCGGCCTCTTCGGGCCTTCCTGGATGCCCTCCTTGGGGGCCTCGTAGGCCGTCTTTGAGGCCTCTTGGGGGCCTCTCGGGCCGTCTGCCGTCATCTTGAGGCTATCTTGGGCCGTCTGGGAGGCGTCTTGGGCGGACTCGGAGGCATCTTGGACCTTGTTAGGCCATCTTGGAGGCCATGTGGGACCATCCTGGGTGAACTTGGAGGCCATCTGAGCCGTCTTGGAGGCGATTGGGATTTCTGCTCGGCGAATTGTGCGCCTTTCCGCGTGGCCGGCGGGACGCGCCGAAGCCTCAGGGGAGAGTTCTTTTGGAAAAAGGGCCCAAACCAAACCAGTAGGGTTCGGCACGCCTGGCATCCCTGTGGTAAGACCACAGGGGGCAGCGGCGGATCCAGCGGCCTTTGGCACATCCCGCAACCGTGCCTGGGCCATAGGTCCCTCGAGGCTCGTGGGGTCCCTCGGAAAGCATCGGGATCTTCTTGGAGACCTCTCGGAGCCCTCGTGGAGGTCCCTGGGGGCTTCTCGGGCGCATCTTGGGGGCCCGCTGGCAGTAAAGGGCGCCAGCTTGAAGCGGAGGGCTCCCGAGACCCGTTCGAGTTTCCATTCTTAGGTTCCCGTTGGGGGCCTCGTCGGGTCCTCTTGGGTGCTTGGGGGCGATTTTGACACGATCTTGGGGCCTCATGGGTCGTCTCGGACGCTCTTAAGATCAAAGATCCGAGAATGGCATATTCGTGCGCAAGCCCAGAAAATTGTTTCACCCTTGTGCTGGCCCGCAGGGCCTCCAAGCGACCCTAGGGGCCCCCACAAGAGCCCCGCGGTAAGGGGGAGGGCACACGATTAGAGGAAGGCAGGTCTCAAGAGATCCCCGGGAGGTCTGCGGAGGCTCAAGGAGCTTAGAAAAGATCGCAAAGAAGTTACGGCCGATCCCCGAGCAGGGGTACGGTAAGTGTGTGTGTGTTGTGTCGACGCGGCGGCGACCCCGCTGCGGGCGTTCAAGGGTGAATGCGGCCAGGCGCCCAGAGTCGACCAATATAACGAGCAGCGTGGTGTCGGAGACCAGCGCGCAAGTCGTTCACGATGCAAGCCTGCCTTGGCCCTCCTCAGGACTACGTGGACCCCGACACGAACAGGAAGGATCCTAACGGCACGTCGCTTCCTGCCGGGCACGCTCGCCTGCCCGGGAGATGGACGGTATGAATGCAGGGGATATTTCCCTTCATTATTTCTCTTCTCCCTCCTCGTCCTACTTTCCTCCTCCTCCTCCTCCTTGCTCCCCATCCTCCCTCCTGCGCCTGCTCCTCATCTTCCCATCCCTATCTGCCTGCCCTCCCTAGTCACCCCGCGCTGCGCCTCCCTAGTCACCCCGCGCTGCGAAAAGAACACGACGTCCGATGCTGGAAAGTTGAGTCCCAAGTTGTCTGGATGGCCTTAAGTCGGGCCTGTCCATCTACAAGAGGAATATTCGGAAATACTAAAAAATAGTCTGGGGACGATGTTTTGAGCATTTCTTTGCTATCTTGGGGTATGTTTGGTTACTTTTAATTTTTCGCCCAAAATCCCCCTGTAGGGGGACATGCCCGACCTAAGGATGGCCGCGCTTGGGCCGCTGGGGCTCTCCTCCTGGGCCCCGGGACCCGCTGGAGAGAGCGCACGGCACGAAGTGCACGCGAGTGAGCCTTGCGTAGCGATGCCAGTGCGTGGACCCCGAATTGTAGATTCTTGGGTTTACACTGGTCCTCCTCCTCCTCCTCCTGCTCCTGCTCCTTCTTCTCCTCATCATCATCGTCCCCCTCATCCTCCCTCCTCCTCATCGTCCTCCTCCTCCTCCGCCTCCTCCTCCTCCTCCTCCTCCTCCTCCTCCTCCTCCTCCTCCTCCTCCTCCTCCCCCCCCTGTGTGCAAGCTGCGAGGTGCCATAAACAGACGGTACCTGCATGGGACACCAAAAGGTGCCAGCCATCGGGCACCACTGAGCACCAACCCGAAGGCATCGACCACAGGGTACCAACCGCAGGGCACCGACTATCGGGCACCACGGAGCACCAACCACGGAGCGTCAGCCAGAGGCCACCGACTGGGCACCATTCACAGGGCACCAGCCACAGGGCGCCGTGGGGCAACGAACAAACGAGCAGCCGTACGCCATAAGCGCGAGCGACCTGACGCAAAGGAAGCTGCGGGGGGGCGGGGCAAAAAAACAGTGACACAAACAAAAGAAAGAAACGCAAACAACAGATGCAGCGCGAGCTCGTGGAGCGGGGGCGGAGGGGAGGGAGAGGAAGGGAAAGGAGAGGAGGGGAGAAAGGAGCCTGGGCACCATGGGGCACCAGCCATAGCCGCGCCAACCGGAGGGCACCAACCAGAGGACACCAGCCGTGAGCGTACCGGCCTGAGGGCACCAAGCGCGGGGCACCAGGCGCAGGGCACCCGCGCGCGCGAGCGGCCGACCTCGGCCGACGCCGACGACGACGACGACGATGACAACGACGACACCGACGATGACGACGCCGCCGACGACGACGACAACAACGACACCGACGACGACGACGACGACGACGACGTCAACGACGCCGACGACGACGACGACGACGACGACGACGGCGGCGACGACGACGCCGACGACGACGAAGACGACGACGACGCCGATGCCGATGCCGACGACGACGACGAAGACGACGACGACGACGACGTCGCCAACGAAGACGACGACGAGGGAGGAGGGAGGACGACGACGGCGACAACGACGACAACGACGATAACGAGAGGTATTCGAACAAGTCTCCGGATCAGGGGCAAAAGAATCAAACAGTGGCGAAGCGTTTTGGCTCTCTTATCGGCCCACCAAGGAGTGTTCTGAGAACCTGCTGTGGTCTGCACGACATGTTATTAGAACATGTCTTGCTGAGGCTGTCTCGTTTTAGCACATCGGGGATGCCCTCAGACCATTGTTTCTGTTATGAGAGCGCTGTTGGGTTCTAAGAACATATCGTGGTAGGCCTATAGGAATGCCGGGACGGTCTGTCCCTGCTCCACGAAAGGGGGGGTAGGCTCAGGGGGCAACGCACCGGCCAACAATCGCCCATGCATCGCCGATAGGCATACGGGGTCCCCCACCCCGCCCAGGAGCGCGGGGAGTTGCTGTCGGGGACCCATTGCCGATCCTACTGACGATGCATCGGCGATTCCAGGTCGAGGTTTTCCCCCCTGCGCCACTCCCCCCCCTATCGCTGCCCCTCGTTACAGTGCGACCAGAAGACCCTGACCGCAAGCGTTCGGGGAGGCGTTCGAGCATGTCTGCTCGTCAGAGGCACCAGCCACATGCTGCTCTGGAAAAGTAGTGCGACTCTTATCGTCGATTTGTTTGTTTTCGTCGCCCTCAGCTTCTTTTCGAAGTTGTTTGCCTTCGGGGGCCGTTTTCGGGCCCCAGGACAGTCACAGACGGACTCGGGCTGAGAACTACCCCTGGGGAAGTCTGCCGAATGATTGTTCGACATGACCTGCAAAAGTTGTGTTGTTCCAGGGGGTAGGCACCAGCGATAGAGCACCACCGATCAGGCACCGAAGCAAGAGAGAGGCATCGCAACCACCAGATACCGCACAGACCACGCATCGGGTGATAAGGAGGCTCTGAGGGGGACATCGTATTACAGGCGGCCCGGAATAGTAGGTCGACCCTGCCAGATCAAGGGTACCCTCGTGTCTTGTGTCTCGCGATCCATGCCTCCTGCATTCCTGTGGCAATGTGGCCTTCGGAAAGGGTCTTGTGTCCTCTCGCGTGTCCTGTCCAGTGAAGTCCGATTGTATTACTCACGAGTGGACACACATCGGGACAACCATCGGGACAACCGTCGGGACAGCCATGGGACAACCATCGGGGCAACCATCGGGACAGCCGGCGGGACCACGGGGAGCAACGGCACAGGCCCGGGGCGACCAGTTTTGTATTGACTTGGCCCCAGTTGGTCAGGAGGGGAAAAACACACAGACACAATGAAACGTCGATTCCCCAGAAAATATGGGAAAATATGGGCAGTGGGGGGAAGACAGAAACCCGGAAAATATCAGGAATTCCTTTTATTTGTGTGTATTTATTTGTGTGTCCCAGGGCCCCTTCACAGGAGTTGGCGCAGTTTCGTCACGCACGCGCGGCACCAACGAGAGCAAGCAGCTGCTTGGCTGGTGCACCTCGCGCTTCACTTCGGTCTCTCCCCCCCAAACCTCCGACATCACAGGCAGCAGGCAAAGAGCACCGCCCTCCTCCTCCTCCTCACAGGGCACATAGGCAAAGAAAGGACATTGCTACTATCATAGCCATGTTCGGGCACCAGCCACCGAGCACCACCCACACCCGACCAAGGCAAGAATGGAGAATTACAGCCATTGAAGGCGTCAGAGAGCACCAGCGAAAGAGCACCACCCATAGAGCACCAAGGCAAGAATGAGAAATCGCAACCATCAAAGGCATCATAGGCGGCCGCCATAGAGCACCACCCGCGGGGCCACAGCCATACGGCACAACTCACACACTCGATACGATCGTGGCACGTTCTTTTCTCAGCCAGGATTTCCGCAGTAGTGCTAGCACAGCTTCGTCAACACGTAAAACACATTCGCGCAAGCACGGTATCGGGAATAAAGCACCAGCCATACAGCGCTACCGATAGAGCAACAGGGCAAACGCAGAAACTCGCGACCAACACTTCAAATGTCCATCGGGCGCTATTCGCCGAGCACCACGGAAATAACGAGGCGACGCAACAAGCAAGGTACCAGCGGGCACCAGCCGTAGAACACCCATCAAGCCTCAGGGCCAAGAACGAGAAGTCGCAACCATCAGGTACATAATATCACAGGGCACCAGCCACAGAGCACCACGGCAGTAACGAGCAATCCCGACCATCAAATGCAGCATAGGGCACCATAATATAAACCGCAACTACCAAAGGCACCATAGGGTCATAGGGCACCATCGTTCAAAGAGCACCACCCATAAGACACGATTGCGAACTCGCGACCATCGCCAAACCTCTCGGCGCAAGCACCTTCCGGGGAGCACTGCCCCGACACGCACCAGCCGCGGCGAAGCGTTTTGGCGGACCTGGGTGCCCGGCGGACCCACATTTGGCGCGGTGGCGGGCAGCGTGGGAGCGTTCGCTTCCTGGCTGGCCACCGCACGTGGGTCGAGGCGGCCGTGTGCGTCTGCAGCCAGCGCCGATGACCGCGAGCCTTGACCTCCCCGCGTTGTGAAAAAGTCGCGACGGCTGGTTTCTGGCGGTCTTCTGCGCCCGAGACCCCTGCCCAGGCCCCAGGGCCGTCAGAGAACAGCTCGGGATGGAAAGCATGGCCCCTGCTGGAAGAGTTCCAGAAAGTCTGGGAAACCACGCTTGCAAAAAAAAAAAAAAAAACGGCGGCCGATGTCTGGGAACCACTGATTTCAAGGAAAAAGAGCATAAGCGTAAATGTTCGACGGTCCGCGCGTTTTTTTAATCTTCGCTTGGGCTCCCTTGGCAGCACCTCCAGCGCCGCCCCTGGCGCGCTCCGTGCGCCAGGGAGGAGGCTCCAGCGCAGATCCAAGAAATCCGCGCGGACCGTCGACAAAATCATGTTTATGTGTTTGTTTCTCTACGATCGGCCCCTTCCACTGCAGAAACACAGCTGGAACATAACCAACAAACGCAAGACCCCATAAAACCACCCTGGGTGTCTACTGATCAGCCCAGCCCTGTTCGATTCCTTCTGTGGCTGCGTTTCGCTTCGGGGGCGCTCATTATTAAGTGTGGCTCTTCTGCTTTCTAAGATTACCGCCGTCTCGACCTTGGGGCGCTGGGGGCCCCCTGTCTGGCAAGCGGGCGCCCGCGCCCTTCGCGCCCTCGTGGGAGGGAGGGGGCGGGAGGGGGGTCAGGCAGGACTAGGATAGGGAGTACAGTCAACCCGCATAGTATGGATGAGCGACTTGCCAAGGTTACCCTTGCACCCTACCCTTCCGGCCCATCCCTGGCCGCTTTCGCTGGCCGCGCCCTACCCCGAAAGTGTCGATGCGGCCCTCCGAGGCCCTTGCATCCTGATCCTGCGCCATCCTTGCACGGGTTGACTGCAAATCGTTCCGGAGCGCTTCCGAGAAGCCTCTCAGCGCTCCGAAGAGCGTTCCGAAACACTCTCAGGGTGGTTTGAAACGCTCTGAGAAGGCCGCGGCGCCCGACACCTCCTCCAGAGGCGCCAGATCTCAGAGCTCCAGTCCGATTCTGCCCCTGTCTCGGCTTCGCCTTATGGGCAAGCCACGCGCGCCCCCCCCGCCGGGTGCGAGTCGGCGCGGGCGGCCGGGCGCGGCCGCGCTCGGCTCCTGGCGCGGCCGCGCTCGGCTCCGAGCAAGGCTGATCGAGGGCTGCTCGGGGCGCACGCTTAGTGGGCCCCGGAAACGACAGGGCCGTTTTTGTTTACCGGTTCCGTTTTGCCTGTTCCGTCGCCGTTCTTTTACGGATTCCCGCTCCGGTTCTAATCCTGGAGCCGTTTTCGTTGCCGTTTTTGGTCGCCGTTATTTTGCCGTTTCCATGTTCAAAAGAATTTGTTTCGGAAACGGTGAAAAAACGGCCCTGCCGTTTCCGGGGCCCACTTAAGGGCGCACGCGACGGGGGTCAGCTCGTTATCGTTTAACCGACCCCCATCCCCATCCCCCTCCCCATCGAGACCCCCAACATCTCAGCACCCCAGTTGGGAACAGACCCTTCGAAGCCCGAAGAAAACGGCCTCTATCCCCATCTAGGGCACTAAATCGGCCAGTGGGGCCCAGGCCACGCCGGTGGGGATGGGGGCTGGTTAAACGATGCTCATCAGCGGCAACGGTCGCCGACTACAAAGTGTGTGGGTTACGCTGGGGGAGGAGGTGCGATCTGCGTCGTCGGCGCTTGGGGAGCACCACGTTGCCCGTGTCGGGCCTCCTCGGGGCGCGGCGGAGAATTCTGCCGAGGTCCTCGCCCGCCCCAGACTGGCTCGAGTTTGGGTTAGTGAGGTGGCTCTGGCGGCCCCGAGTGTGCGCAGACCCCCGTTAGTGCGTCCTGTCCGTCTGTTTCGTGCCCCCACCCTCACAGATCGAGCCGGCTCGAGGCATTCGGCAGAAAGACGGGGTCTGGGGATCTGGTGCTGATTGTTTGCGATGTTGCCGTGGTTTGCAGCATTTTGCATCGTCAGATCTGAAGGACTCGCCCGTCCCCTGGGCCTTAGCGGGCCCTGGAAACGACAGGGCCGTTTTTGTTACCGGTTCCGTTTTGCCGTTTTTTGCCGGTTCCGATGCCGTTTTTGTTACCGGTTCCGTCTCCGTTCTGTTACGGGCTCCCGCTCCGGTTCCAATCCTGGAGCCGTTTTTGTTGCCGTTTCCGGTCGCTTTTTTTTGCCGTTTCCATTTTCAAGGGACATTTTCCGGAAACGGTGAAAAGACGGCCCTGCCGTTTCCGGGGCCCACTAAGCCCTGGGCCCTGGTGGGGACCTCCAGAGGCCGAGCGTGGCCAGAGCTTCTCCCCGCGAGCCTCCCGCAGCGCGGGGAGCTCAGGGTCCTCACGTTCCTCCGCGTTGTATTCCCAGTCGTCCTCGAGGAGGTGGAGGCGGTGGAGGAGGAGGAGGAGGAGGAGGACGAGGAGGAGGACGAGGAGGAGGACGAGGAGGACGACGAGGGGGAGGAGGGCGAGGAGGGCGAGGAGGAGGAGGAGGCGGAGGCGGAGGCGGAGGAGGAGGAGGAGGACGAAGAGGAGAAGGATGAGGAGAGGGAGGACAAGGTTCTCATCCTGCAGCTCCTCCGGTTCCCTCGGGCGTTTGATCCTTGGGCGGAGGGCTGCGCTTCTCGCCTTCTCCGCGCTCGCGCGCTGGATTCTATTCCCAGCCCGAGCTCGGCGCGCTCTGTCATCTCGTGCGGTTCCTGACCTTCGCGTCGTGAAAAGAAGGACGGAAGGTCTGGGGCCAATGTTCGACCTCCGGGAGCCCTCGGGGCCGTCGAAAAGCTGCGCGGGATGAGAGGCCAGTCCCCCAGGAAGGGGTCCAGACTTCGGGCGGCCACGCCGCGAAGCAACGCGCGACGGGGGGGGCTGGGCACCTCCCTGGCCCGAGCACGGCGCGCCCTTGCATCTCGCGTGAGGTTGCGTTTCAGACGGGCCTGTCCCTCTACAGGAGGACTACTCCAAAATAATCAAAAAAAATCAGGGGACGATTTGTTTTGTATTTGGGGTATTGTTTGAGTTTTTGATAGAGTATCTTTAATTTGTCGTCCAAAATTCGCCTGTAGGAGGACACGCCCGACCGAAGGTTACACTCCTCTCGTTGAAAGTAGGTATCGAAGACGCCTACGGCGAATCACCGCCGCCCCCTGTCTTTTGGGAAGCGCCTCTGTGGCTAAACGTTTGGCTTGGCCAAGCTCTTGGACAATGTGTTTCCCAGCCGCTCTGGAAACTCTTGGGGGAGCACTCGGGGGAGGATGATAGGGAGGATCAGGAGAGGGAGGAAGATGAGGAGGAGGAGGAGTAGGAGGAGGAGGAGGCCTCCAGGGGGCCTCTTGGGGCACTCTTGGGGCCTCCTGGGAACTTCTGGGGGGCCTCTTGGAGGCGTCTTGGGGGGCTCCTTGGACCTGTTGGCTGCCTTTAGGGCATTATTGGGGGCCTCGTGGGCCGTCTTATGACATTCCTGGCCCGTCTCACGTCGTCGGGAGCCGTTTGGGAGGCCTCTCTGAACCGACTTGGAGCCTTCTTGGGGTGCTTCATGGCAGTACTGGAGGCCACCTCAGGCGTCTTGGAGGCCTCTTGGACCGTCTTGGGGGCATTCTTGGGGCCGTCTCGGGGGCCCCTTACGCCGTTGTGGGGCCGTATTGGAGGCTTGTTGGACGATCTTGGGGCGACTTCGGGGGCTTTGGGGCCGTGTCGGGCCGTCGGAAGGCCGAAACGTAGCCAATACAAACAAATATTTCAAACACCTACAGTCAACCCGCATAGTAAGGATGGGCAACCTTCCAAAGGGTGCCCTTGCATTCTTGCCCTCCTCGGTCCATCCTTCGCCACTCGTCGGCCGCGCCCCGCTCGAAAAGCTTCGAAGTGGGCGTCCAAGGCCCTTGCATCCTTATCGCGCACCCTTATTATCCGGGTTGACTGTAAGGCGAATCAATGATTTTGACCTCTTCGGGGCTTCCTCAAGGACCTCTCTTTGGCCGTCTTGGAGGCTTTTTGGGGGCCTCTTGGGCGGTCTTGGGCCATCTTGAGGCCATATTGGGCTGTCTGGGGTGCATCTTGGGCCATATTGGATGCATCTTGGGGCCATCTGAGGCCATCTTGGCCGTCTTGGAGGCCATCTTGGCCGTCTTGGAGGCGGCTTGGAGGCCATCCTGGGCCATCTTGGTTTTCTTCTAGGAATTTGTTCGTCGGGTTGTGCGACCTATCGGGTGGTCAGCGCAATGGGCCGAAGGCCCAAGGGGCAATATGTTGGAGAAGAACCAGACCAAACACCGTAAGAAATTCAACACGCCAGGCACCCCTGCGGCAAGGCCACAGGGAGCGGCGGATCGAATTCCTTTTCTTATCTCGCCACCATGCTTGGGCTGTGGGTATTACCGGGTATGAAGCCTATTGGATGATCGTTGGGATCTCGGGAGGCCTCTGTTTCGGAGCCTCTTGGGGCATCGTGGGGGCCTCTTGGGGCCGCTTCGGGGCCTATTGGGGGTCTCTTAGGGCCTCCTGGGCGCCGCTTTGGGCCTCTTGGTGGCCTCTGGGGGGCGGAAAGCTCGGATGTTCGGTTTGTCGTCCCTTCCCTGGGTCCCTCTTTGGGCCGTTTGGGGGCCGTCTTGGGCGCCTCTTGGGACGTTTTGGGCCGTCTTGGCATCAGCTTGGAGGCCTCTTGGGCCGCCTTCGAGAGGTCTTGGGAGCCTCTTCAGCCGTCTTGGAGCGTCGGGGAGCCGAAAAGGCGAGAAGACCAAAGTCTTTGGAAAACCTCTTGAGACTCTTTGGAGGCCTCGTGGAGCTTTCTTGGGGCGTCATGGAGGCCTCCTGGGTCGTCTGGAAGCCAGCTTGCGCATCGTGGGACGATCTTTCGGCGACTCGGGGCACTCTTGGGCCGTCTTGGAGGCCTCTTGGGGCCCTCTTTGCCCGTCTTAGGGCCCTCTTGGGCCCCGAATGCGACAAGATGCGCCTGAGCCCAGAGGGCAGCGGGGAGCCCCGCCAAATTTGGCAATTTGGGATCCGTGCCCATAAGAGACCCCTGAGGGCTGAGGACTCAGGCTCCAGGAATTAGGCACGCCCGCTCCGTGCCCAGAGGCACGGTGGCGGGTTTTTAGAATCCCAGACCCCAATATATTGCAAGCGCCTTCCTACTTCAGGAATCGATATGCTCTTGCTGTGTGTTGTTGTTCTTTGGGCGGGGCCGAGCCCAATCTACTTCCTCCGCATTCCTACTTCATGAATTCATGCTTCCACCTATTTCTTCCGACTGGCGGGTAGCTATACCTTGACTTCCCCGCGCCAGTAAAAAACGACGTAAGGTGTTTCAGAATGCTGTTCCCCTTGGGACCGCCAGAGAACTGCTCGAGAACTGCTCGAGGAGGGAAAATTACGAACACTTGTCGCTCCGAGGCCCGCTCGGCTTTCTGGTATCTGCGTCGGGCCCCTCAGGCAGGTCCCTCGTCGCCGCCCCCTTGCGCGCTTCGCGCGCCCCTGCCCCCCCCCCCCAGTCGCCAGAACAGCTTCTACGGCAGCTTCTACAACATCTGGACGCCCACGTCCGCGTCGGCCACCCCGACCTGGATAGGAGGCGAGCAGCAGCCCATCTTCGGCGCTTCTGGCAAGAAGAGCTGAGGCCCGTGGCGCCCGCCCGGAACCCCTTGAGGGCGGCAGCGGGTTGGCCGCGAGCTTCCCAAACATGCGTGCGCCATCCATGGAAAGTCACGTCGGGAGGCTCTTGTCAGGAAGGAATGAACACACAGACACAATTAATCGTCGATTCCCCAGAAAATATGGGAAGATATGGGAAGTAAGGGGGAAGACAAAAATCCAGAAAATACGGGAAAAGATGGGGAATCCTGTTATTTGTGTGTACTTATTTGTGTCCCAGGGCCCCTTCATCTTGGCAGTCTTCGCCTCCGGGGTCCTTCGTGGGGCCCCGGGGCCGTCCAGAGAACGGCCCAGGAGGGGAGGCCGGTCAAAGGGCCAGGGGTGCTCCTCCTCCTCCTTGTCTCCCTCCCTCCTCCTCCTCCTCCTCCTCCTCCTCCTCCTCCTCCTCCTCCTCAACCTCCTCCTCCTCCTCCTTGTCTCCCTCCTTTTGGACTTGGAGTCAGGATGAAGTGCACGAAGCGTCACCCGCCACAGTCCCTCCTCCTCCCTCCTCCTCCTCCTTCCCTCCTCCTCCTCCTCCTCCCTCCTCCTCCTCCTCCTCCTCCTCCTCCTTGTCTCCCTCCTCTTCTCCCTCCTCCCCTCCCTCCTCCTCCCTCCTCCCTCCTCCTCCTCCCTCCTCCCCTCCTCCTCCTCCTCCTCCTCCTCCTCCTCCTTCTCCTCTTCCTCCCAGCTCTTCAGGGAGCCACGCTCTGAGAACAGCTCGGCGCTGCATGTCTGCTGGCGGCGCATCACCAGAGTCAGAGCCTGAGTTACCTGCCCCGCTGTCGCTTGCAGGCAAAACCAAGTCATACCACGCGCCTCCCCGTCGAGCGGCCTGACCCGTGCGGGCCGCAGTTCGGCATCGCTTGGCAGCTCTTGGAAGCGAGGGAGGTCAAAAGCGAGGCAGGTTCGTTCGCCCCCCAAAGAGCGCAGGCACAAGCTTGTGGAGGTCCGCGCAGGGTTCTCGGGTCGGCGCTGGACCGCCCCCTCTGGCGACGCTGCCCCCCGACCCCTGGCGGCGCTTCGCGGGCCGTCCCGAGAAGTCTGCGCGGACCTCCGAGAGTGTACAGCCAAGACGCTGGAAGGAGGAACAGTTTGGCTTCGGAAGGGGCTCGGTGTTCCTCAGGTTCCTCCAGTGCTGTTCCTCTTGCCCTCCTGGGGCACGGAGGCGCTTACAGGGCCAAGAAGGGGCTTCGTTCCTTATTTAGCGTTCCTTCTTTCAGCGGCCCGACTGTACGTTCAGATCGTCTGCTGTCTCCTTTCTAGGGGGGTCGGCGAGTCTGCTTGCGCTCACGACTGTTCGAGGGAGTCCAAACGCACCCCAGACCCAAACGTACCCTGGAGAAGGGCCATCGGGGCCCACATCGGAACGCCCTGGGGCCAGACATTGGTGCACGCTGTGGATGGAGCCGTGCCCCCTGGATACGTCGCCCTGGAGGAGCGTTTAGGCACTCCTCATGGCTCTCTGCTTGAATTCGTCACCAGGATTGCTTAACATGGTGCTCGTTTGATCGCCTCCTAGATCTAGTGGGTTTTGCCCTAATCTGCAGCACGACTGCCCCTTGGCTGGCATGCCGAGGGCTGGGCACCTGGAAAAGACTTGAATGTGGCCACCCATCGTCGGCGCCTCGGTCACACATGCAAGCCGGCTGGGCGAAACCGACACGCGCGCCCTCGTTTTCCGGCGCCCAGTGCAGAGGTTTAATCGGAAGGCCCGCTTTGAGATAGATGCATTGCACAGCAAGTGAAGTGATTGAATTATCCTCGTCCTCCACCCCAGACATCCGACGCCGTGTTTTTTTCTCAACGTGGTTCCCCAGATTTTCGGCCCCTTCCTTGGCACAGGCATTTTATCCTGAGCCGTCTTTGACGGCCCTGGAGCCCAGTGAGGGCCCACGGGGGCCGACACATATACACACACACACATACCAGGCAACACAAATACACACAAACACATTCCCACACACAACACACACGCAACACACGCAACGCTCACAACGCTCACACACACAGCACAGACACACGCACACACACACACAAACACACGCGCACAAACAAACACACACACACACAAAGCAAACACACGCGCACAACACTCACAACGCACACACACACACACACACACACACACACACACACACACACACCGCACATACATATATATATATATATACATATATGTATATTTACTTCTGAGCTGGCGGCGCAGAGGAACCTCAGGCGTGGTCGACTCAAATAGTGGACATGTTCTGGGCGAATAGCAGCATGCTTGGCAAAATCACGCAGCATATAACTTAGAGAACAGCGCACGTGATCTAGCTTCCTAGTATGTGAATACCGCTTCTGCGTTGCTGATATGCCCGACACCCGACGCACTTGTGTGCGCAACGCGACGGTGCTTGGCCCGATGTGCACGGTCACGGACTGCTGGCTAACGGAACAAAGGGCGGTTGGTAGGGACGACGCACCGATTTGGTAGTTGCTTGGAGATAAGTAGTCAGTGAAGCCAGAGGCTAAGTCCCAGACGGAAGCATAGATCGTTCCTTAACACAGTACAGACATCCTTGAAGGCGACATACGTTGGGTTCATCTAGTGGTTACGCGCACAAATGCAGCTGGAAGTTCATCACGGTATTGAGCCTTGTTAGTGTGACAAGTCGACCAAGCAGAATCCGAGAACAACACAACCTATGCGGAGGTCATCACGAGTAGGTTGGGTATGTTTAGGAGCTGAGATGTACGGCAAATGGGGGACACAAAGTGCCGCTTTGGGCTCACAAGACTCGAGATCTGCATAGCCAAATCCGCCGCGGGGCCGCGCTGGGCTCAACATAGGTGGTGGGGCATCCTAAGCCTCCCCCTACAACGTGCTGGAGTTAGGTGTGCCATGGAGCCGGGAGGAGGCCTGGCGCACAAGCCCCAGGAGCCTCGATGCCCGCTCGCTGATTTAGAGGTGCTATAGGTACTCCTCCTCCTCCTCCTCGTCCTCCCCGTCCTCGTCCTCCTCCGTCTCCTCCTCCTCCTCCTCCTCCTCCTCCTCCTCCTCCTCCTCCTCCTCCTCCTCCTCCTCCTCCTCCTCTTAAGTGTCATATGCCTCGGAACCTCCAATGTCGCATCGCGCGCCTTACTAATGCACACTACCGCGCAAGAGTGTGCATTAGCGCTGGCCCGCGGATAGCACATGAGTGTCTATCAGTGTTCCTCCTCCTCCTCCTCCTCCTCCTCCTCCTCCTCCTCCTCCTCCTCCTCCTCCTCCTCCTCCCCCCCTCCTCCTCCTCGTCCTCCTCCTCCTCCTCCTCCTCCTCCTCCTCCTTGCTAGCCCGATGGGGTGATACAGAGTTGTTGTAGAGGCCGGGAGGTGAAGACCCTCCCCGCGTCATCAGTACCTTCAGTACCCTGCTCGCTAGCCCTGGGGCTGGGAGACGGGCCGCGGGCGGCGGCAGGGCGCAGGGCAGCGGCGGCGGCAGCACCAGGGCAAGGACAATGGCGAGGACGAGGGAAAACGGCAGCGCCAGCAGCCGCAGGACGAAAGCCGCCCAGCCTGCAACTTGACCATCGTGCCCAAGCGGAAGCGCGAACCGACGGTAAATCTGTAGAATTGCGGGAGGGCACAGCCTTTCGGAAATTCCGAGATCTCCAGCTGTAGTTGTTTTCTTTGGTTAGGTCATTTGTGTGCCATATTTTGCGCAGACAGTTTGGCGGATGAATTCTGCATCCACCAGGCTCGGGGAGTCGCCCCCGCGCTGCCAGTGGGCCATTTGGGCCGCCCGCACTAGCACCTCGTGGGCATTGTGGGCACAGGCATTTTAGCGAATGAATGGCGCATTCTTGAGGCTGCATATAGCCATATGGGCCGCCCACTTCGGAGCTTTTCTTTGGCCGTTCGAGCCTGCCCGTTGTGGGGTGTTTTTTTCTCTGTGCCAGCCAGGGCCGCACACGAAGTTTGCCCATTTGGGGCTGCAGTTCGGCCATTTGGGCTTGGTATTGTGGTAATATGTGCGTGTGTGCTATGTGCCGCTCACGGCCGCACCGTAATTCAAGCCCCATGAGATGGGCTGTATCTCGGTTGTTCCAGCTCCATGAGAAGGGCTGTTTGTCTTTTGCTTATCCAGAGCAATTGGCCCAACCGGTTGCAAGTTCCAGTCATGTCAATTGTGTCAGATTCCCTCAGACGCGAAATCGCGGATGCCGACGCCAGGGAAAGATGGTGTTCGGACACCCGGGGCTTCAGATTGAACACCGAGCTATTACGTGATTTCGGCGCTGTTGCGCAGTTTCCCCATTGGTGGGAATACGGTCGCCAATTGTTTTCGAGGGCACAGTAGAGCCTACAGTGCATAATAACTACGGCTTTCTTATGAACAGTTTGTCGCACGCAGAAGCTGAGTGGGATCGATGAGAGCGTCTCGGCAAGATGGAGTTCTTTGCACCGGGGCCTCGGCCCGACCCGAACAGATCCTCGTCAATCCTTGTGGTTTTGGCATTGGAAGAGAGCCCAGACACAAGCATAAAAGCTCGTTTGATTGTTGACCTTACCAAAAGTGGGTTCAACCAAGTGGCCCAGAAAGTTCCCGTCGGATATGGATTTTTTTGATTTAGCATGTTCGCGTATTGTTCCAGGCAGTTGGTTATTTGTTGTGGACATCGCCGATGCATTCTAGAATTGGCGATTGCATCTGGACGATTACTGTAAATTCGGATTCTGGTCTCCTGGGAGGCAACGTCACGGACACTACACACATTTACCCATGGGGTTTGTTCCGCCCCCCAGGGTGAACGACGAAAGCGCAATAGAAGTGTTGCGTTTATTGTTTTTACACGAACACGTCTTGCTTACAGATTTTGCCGATGATCTAGGCAATGGAACGACCGAGTCCGAAGCTTCAGACTAGTTCATTTCCGCCGTTCGCTTCCTCGTGCGGGCCGGCATGTATACCAGTCAGCTACAAGGATTCTGGTTTACGGCCCCCTTCCCAAAAACAAAC